AGGACCTTCGTCCGCTGCCGTTCCTCACGTACCGCATAGGGCACGAACCTCGTCCTCACCATGGCTGCTCTAGGTCCATTTGGGCCGCTTGGATCAACTATGCGGTGAAGTCCTGAGGACATAGGTCCTCAATGTAGACTCTTGAATAACCCCCCAAGCTTGAAGATTTGGGGGGCTTTCTAGTCAAGAGTCTACATCTCAAAAGGTTAATTACCCATATTTACCCAGGTGACCATTCTCGAAGGATGCTTAGGGGTGGGGTTGGGACTTAATTGATGGAGGGGCGCTCCAGGTGACCTCTGTTTCTAGGAGATTTAGTGGGTTTGAACATGTTTGGAGACTCTAAGTCCCTTGTGAGGAGGTACTTGGAGTTCTTTGGGATGGTTTACATGCCTGAAGCGGCACGCAATGGCACGCATGGATGTTTGAATTCATGCACTTTGATTACTGTAGTCAACCCAACATTTGGACATCAGTTGGAGATTGACAGGCCCTCCAGATGTTAGTGATGCTGATCTCCCAATGGTTTTCCAATGGCCCAGGAGCGTCTCGGAACAGCAAACTGCTTCGAGCAGACGGAGCCCTGTTCGAGCAGACGGAGCAGGAGGACAGGCCTTCACAGGCGTTCGGATCATTGGTTCAGCCGAAAATCATGGGCACTGGCCGCCAGGTGAGGAGAGATGACCTACCAGTAGCAGTACCAGTAGCCTACACACGACGTCCACGTCCATCGCACGTCTCGTCGGTCCAGGCACCGGTCCGACGGCGGAGTGGCGAAGGCGCCGGGGACGGTTGGGGCCAAAGCGTCGGGTGTTTTTCAGACGAAGCGACCCTGAACACGTCACGAAACCACTGCGGTTTGTAGAGGAACATGGTATATAACCGAACCGTTTTTTTTTGGGGGGGCTGGCTGGGTGCCCAGCAACCACAGTGGTCCAGGTGAGTTTTCGATAAACTGTGTGTTTCCTCATCCTTTGGAGGGGATCGTCGGCAACTCGGTTGGCTCACAAAACCCTTTTTGGGCATTGTAGCGCTCATGCCTTTGGTTCCGGCTTTGCAAATCAGATGGGTCTGCTCGGTCTGGATGGGTCTTCGGTTCCAGCGAGCGAAACAGCAAGCTCGGCTCGCACCGCGGCGCCGGCACTGTCAGGTGTCACAACACGTCTTGTGGGACCAGCTTTCACTGGCTGCGCCCGGACCCTAAGACATCCTAAGACCTGTAATATTGAGGCTTGGAGGCTCTGCCACATTCTGCCACAGAATTCACAGGGCTTCTGTCCGCCAACTCGATATATTGGAGTTAGTCAGGTCGTTAGATCCCAGAAAGCAGCGCTTTGCGGTGAATCTTTTGAGTTGTCCTTTGTGCTCTTGTTTGGTGGTCAACCAGCTGCCAATTGCACTGACATGGTTTGCATGCAATTGAACCCCTCTTTTCTGCACCATCCTGCAAAACATCAGAAGAAAATGATGCAACAGGCCTTGTACGAGTTATTTGGCTCCATTTGCTTTGACGTCATGTTTGCACTGACGGTGCCCATGTCCCTATGGTGGTTGGCCGGTACACTCAGCCTCATTTGCATAGTGCTCATCATCATTGAGAGAGGCTGTGAGGCTGTATGGGTGCCACCATTTTTGACATTTGCCCTTTGTGGCACGTGTGCTTCGGACATGATGTGGCTTGCAACCAACGCTGGCTTCGGAGTATTGGGCGCCCAAATTGAACGCTGGAGGATTGCGCCGGAACCTGAGCAGCCAAAAACAAGTCCAATGGAGAATATCAGAGCAAAACTCACGGGCTTTTGGTTGGACATGTGCATTTTCACAGGTGTTTGGTTTGCCGGAAACCTCTCCTTCAGCTACGACATCAGCTTCGTGCGTTCAGTGGTTGGATTTTTGCTCATGGTGAGTTTGCTGGATTTGGGTCTCTCACTGTGGCACCACGTACTGCACCTGCCATGCATGTACACATATCACAAAGTTCACCACTCAGTGCGCATCACGCAACCATGGACCAACGAGGTAGAACATCCAGTTGAGGCATTGGGAAATGCTACAGTCAAGTACGGCAGTCTTGTGTTGGTGTCGAATTGTGTGCAACTGAGCCCCAACGTGGCCTTTGCATACTTCATGTTCTCAACTTGGTATGGAGTCATGGTTCATTCTGGCTACAATCTGCCACCCTTTGATTGGATCTTGCAGACGCCAGCTTTGTGGTTCATCATCACTCCCCAGCAGCACCAGGCCCACCACTTGAATGGTGCAAAGAAACTTGGGGCTATCACGTCCATTTGGGACTCACTCTTCCAGAGAATCATCTCGATGTCCATACCCAAGCAGCCTTGCCTCCAGCCTTTGGCTGCCTCCAGCCGCCTGGGCAAAACTTGGCCGGTGGAAAGTCTTCGTGAGATCAGTGACGATCAACTCAGGGAATTGGTCCAGGCAGTCCGGACACATGGGATGATAGTGATTCCAAATCAATCCTGGAGCCTCAATGAGCAGGAGAAGTTCACCTCACGCTTGGGGGAACTCACGGCCACTGTTGTAGGCCAAGCTCCAGAATACTTTGAGGTTCATCCCAGGATTGTTCGGCTGTCGAATTTCCGTGCCGATGGCACGTGGAAGGGTCCAAACTATCAAGGTGCAGAGGTGTGGCATCAAGATGGTGATTACATGAGAATGTCGGAGCGCCACATCCTCACAGTGCTTTGCGCCGAGCAGATTCCAACCTCTGGAGGTGGCACAGGCTTTGTGGATCTCGTGGCCGCTGCTGCAGCCCTACCCGCCTCGCTGCGCGCGAAAGCTGAAGGCCTACGCTGCTTTAGTTCGGCGCGGCGAAATGCAGAGTACATGAAGAGAGACTTCACCGCAGAAGATGCCGAAAGATTTCCTGACCAATGGACGCCCGTGCTTCATCGACATCCTCGTGATGGGCGAGAATTACTTCTGATGGGTTCAGAGTTGTCAGTCCTTCAGGATCAAAAGCAGCCAGATCCAGAGACGACCAAGGCCCTGTTTCAACATGTGCTGTCTCCTCGTTGGATGTACTTCCATCAGTACAAACCGGGTGATGTCATCATTTGGGACAACTTGCAAACCCTTCACAAAGCGTTGCCCTTTATCAATGATGGATCTGACTCTCGTCTCCTTTGGCGTGCCCAAGCACGAGTGACAGAAGCCTTCCCTTGGTGATGCAGCACTAGGTGGCACAAGTGCAAGATAGGCTCGAGAATCGTTGCACCAGCCCAAGATGCCACGCAAAGCAAGTGTGAAGCCGGAGTTTTGTTGCAAAGATCGTATAGGTTTTTGGTCTGCTTAGGCTAAAGCCAAGTAGAGTGTGATCATCATGCTTGATCTTTTCTCGTACAGCCAGGTAGCGACATAGGAGCTGCACATAGTCGTGTGCCCAAATTCAATGTATAGTGCAGATGCAGCATTTGTTGTCGAAATACTTTTTTCTGCAAAGAACATCAGCGTTTGCAACTGCGTGGCTCGGCGAGATTGCTGTTTTTGATATTTGGACAGGTTGTGTAAACATGTTCATGTTTGTTTGAGAATTGTTGAGACGCGCGGGTGATGCTGGTGTGCCAGGGTATGACACCAACTATGACCAGCTTAGTTGGCACTCTTGACCCTTGATCATGGAGCGCACTCTCCCTTCTAACTTGAAGAAGTGCAAGGCTCCAAAAAGAACTGCAAAAAATGTTATGGTCTTATTCGTGATTGTGACTAGCCATCTCTGACACATTTTTGTGCGGATTTTTTTCTCAGAGCTGGCATGGTGGCATGGCTTGATGTTGATCCTTGTGTCTCATGAGGATGTGCTGCTTCTTCCAGGCAGAGGCACTGAAGCACAGGTAGTCTCTAAGATTTTGAGTCCTCACTTTTGCGCATGACGCATAGTTTTCACTACGGGACAACATTGGTTGCCCCAAAGTTGCGCACATTACCGAATTATGATCCCATTTGTTGGATTTTTTGTGTAAATTATATATAGATGTGCCGTTCAGTTTGCTGAAGAGCCTTGTTGGTGGCACTGGACTTGAATGAGCTAGCATCGTTATAAGGATACTGACTAGGGTGCCAGTGCTGTTGACAAGTTGTGATATCTTATATATAATAGTTTGACACTTTTTGGGACTTCGAGGAACAGTATCAGTTCAGTAAGGCACAACGCTCAAGGTTTTGCTGATTGGAATGTTTCTTCAGTTTTCTGTTGCCTTCATCCAGTGCCCTTTCATCTCCCAGATCCATCCATGACCCAACACAGGACCCAACACCCAACGGAGCGGGCTGAGCGCGCCAGGGTCACCAGGGCATCTTGCAGCAGGGGCTTTGCTTAGCACCTTCATGAGGCCATGAAAGCGACTGAGAAAACACAGGGGTTGATCGTTGGTGAGGCCATTGCATCGGCTTCGGGGGTGCTCCGAATAGAGAAGGTAGAGCTGCATCAAAGTGGAAGAGACATGTGTGGATTCTAGGCTGTTGATGGCTATGGTGTATATACTTTACTTTGATATCAGTGTGAATCTGTCATTAACATCCATCACACCCTCTGATTTAAACGGTAGGAAAAAGCCAAAGATGGGTTCATGGCTTGAATTGGCCTCAAGATGGCCAAATCTCTTCCTCTTCCTCCTCCCCCTGCTTATCCTGCTTATCCGGTGCACTTAAAACCTTACTATGAGGGCCCAAATGCCATTGTGGAAGGGCCTAAATGGCATGATGTAACAATCGGACGCAGAGAGGTGCAACGAACCTTACAGAGATCCCCTTCGCGCACCGCGCGATCGGATCGGACAGGTCTTCGTTTTCTATCTTCGGGGTGCCGAACCGAGTGCGACAGGCCGAAGCAGTCAGTGACATGCCGATTGAACCCTCTTGCCATTTCTGGCTGGTTGGATTTCAACGCATATCTTGCTTCAACATGATTCGAAGGCATTTTCTGCATCCAAACAGTGCCCAGGTTTCGGGTGGACACCGAGGTGCGTCCGGTTGGAACGATGTCCGAAGGCCAAGAGGTTGCGTTGTTCAACCGGAGACTCTTCATCATTGGGATTATGAGGCTCATCGACAGCATGAACGTGACCATGATCATGCCGTATGGAGTCCAGATGGTGGCCAGGTTTTTGAATCAGGACACCGCGAATCCTCAAGTGAGTACGGCCTTTGCATGGCTGGTGGGTCTTTACTCCTTCTTCGAGATCGTTTTCTCCCCCTTCTGGGGCGTGGTCGCCGACCGCTATGGGAGGAGGCCTTGCCTCCTGATTGGCATGGCCGGGACAGGTATTGCAACCATTCTGCTTAGCCTCGGACCGTCTTTGACCGCAGTCTTCCTGTTCCGTGCGATGGATGGCTTTTTCTGTGGAAACCAGGCCGTCTTAAGAACTTACTTGGGAGAACTGGTCGACAAGAGTAACGAAGCTCATGCCTTCAGTTTTCTGGTGCTGTTCTTTGTCCTGGGCTTCATTGTCGGGCCCCTTCTCGGTGCCCTGGCTTTCCCCGCACGGTGGGCACCCCAAGTGTTTGGCGGGACGCTCTTTGAGCAATATCCGGTCCTTTTACCAAACCTTTTGTTTGGAGTTTTCACGGCCATTGTTTGCATCATCGGCTTTGTCTACTTGGAGGAGACGCTTCCCAAGAGCAAGCGCGAGGTGGAAGTGAATGAAGTGGATCCTGAGGCTAGCGAGGTCACCGATGGCCAGTTGGCCACGGAGGTGGGCCCGGAGACGGCTGGCCAGAAATCCTGCTATGCCCTGCCGGTGCTCCAAGTGATCGTCGCATTCTGTGGAATTGCGGGTGCTGTCGAGGCACAGAATACCTTGGTGGTGTTGCTGTGGCAATATCCGCAAGCCTTGGGTGGATTCGGGTTCAGCCCACAGCAGGTCTCCCTCGTCCAAATCTCCGGCGGGGTGGGCCCGATTCTGTGCCATTTGACTTTCGGCCAGCCTTTGGTCAAGAGGCTGGGTTTCTTGAAGGTCCTTGTGTTGGGCTTTGTGATCAACAGCCTCGCCTACAACCTTTACCCGGTCTACAGTCTTCTGGCCGATCCCAAGTATGGCCTGTGGAGATATGTCATTTTAGGCCTTGCCGAGTTCATAGGCATGACTGGGACCTTTATGCTGTTCTCTCCAGTCTTTGTCTTCCTGAACCGTGCCTCCATCGGCCTCAATCGCGCCACCGTCAACGGCTGGGCGAACTCCGGTCGTGCACTGAGCCGCGCGATCTCTCCGCTGGTCGCCTCGCAACTGCTGCATGTATCAGAGACTTGGCCACTTGGACGGCACATGCCCTTCTATGTCACCAGTGCCTGCTTGGCTTTCTCCTTGGCGATCTCATGGTCTGGGCTGTGTAAGCTGAACTAGAAGTCCAGCGGATTTGGAAGGTCGGCACGTTCCCCACCTTCTCCGCGACGCGGACGCCCATGCGACTAAGATCGTGTCCGCAGCAAAGCCGTGGTTTTGCGTTCATCTACTGTATGTTCATTTTCACATTTCACTTTGTGTTTGCGTTTAGTCTGTTGAGTGTGAAGTCGCAGTTTCGTGTGTACAGATCGTATAGAATTTGTAGAGCTTGTTTTGTGTAGGCGGTAGCATGAACAGAGTTTATGTTGTTCATGCAGCCGGGTAGCGACACGAGCTGCAAGTAGTCGTGTGCCCAAATTCAATGTAATTATACTGCAGATGCAGCATTTACTGTCCAAAGCAGAGTTGTGTTGCAAATGAGGCAGCCCAACAATAATACAACAGCAGCTTCATCAACAGTTGAATCAGCGGCGTGATTGTGCTGTGTTTGACAGGAACCGTTTAACGGGTGTTCATGGTTGTTCGGGATATTATGTTCTATAGAAATGCTGGATGATGCTGCTGTGAATGACCTTCTCATGGGGCACAGCAAAGGCACGCTCCCTTCCAAGCTTGAAGAAGTGCAAAGGCCCCAAACAGAACTGCGCACTCTTGCTGTGGCTGAAGCGTTTGGACCTTGGACACCGCGGGCCTTCCCAAAGTTCTACCTCGTTCTTCGTCTCACCCAAACAGCTAGTCTTGGTACTTGCTAGGTCCTGCTAGGTCCTCCTACCTCCATCTATACAGTAGGTCCAAAAACAACGAGGTCTTCCAAAAGAAAGAGTGGAGTAAGTACTCGGACGTTTTTTTTTGTCCTGACATGTTGTTCAAAATCCGAAAAGACTTGAGAGACATGAGGCACCATCGCCACCACCCCAGACGATGGTGGCGATGGTGCCTCACGTGGCGATGGTGCCAAGCAAGCTGAACGGATGTGAGGCTTCAGAAAGGCTCTTTACAGGGTGGAGCTGCATCTCTTATGATATACCGTTTGTATATATATATACGTATATATAATTATGAAACGCCTATTTAATTAAGTAGGTCCAATGATTGATTCGCAAGCACGCAATTCAGGTGCCCAGTTGGAGAGGCTGTCCGGCCATCGTGGGTACAGTTCTCAGCGGAAAGGCTACCATGTGTGTTCCTGGAGTGTTAAACACGAGTTGGGATAAGCTTCGTTTGACTCTGGCAAATTCGAGACACCTTGTTAGGCCTTGTCATGTTTCATTTCATGCGCAGAGTAAATAACATGTGCAGCTTTGTCAAAAACGTGAAGAAAAACGCTTCCCGGGGACTGCAGGTGAGCTCCGGAGCTGGAAACAGGATGTGCATGGTCTTGGTTCGAGGCCTGGATTGCCACGCATGTGGCCATGAACTCAAAGTTGAAAGGAGACTTCAATGGATTCTTTATCTTTTAAATGTAACTATATTTAACTCCCAATTCTACAATTTCTACAAGTGCTGTTGGAATCTTTCGGACAGTTGTTGGCAGGCAAGTTCAAGTTCCCCAACATAAATCCAAATGAATTCCAATGTGTTTTTCATGCGAGACTGTTGGCTGATGAGTTGATGAAACATTGAAAGGATCTTAATGAGAGAACAACTTCATGATGAAATCACCGGTGCGTACACGATCCCAACAACAGACACGGGCACCATTGCCATGACTGAGGAGCTACAGGCATGTACAAAGCTTTCACATAGCATCAATAGGCACACATGTCACATGGATACGATACTCCCAAAGTTCCAACTTCATTGGCTTCGAGCCATTATTGTATAATTATACCTTGAGGTTTGCTTTTCGATAACGAGGCTGTGAACCTAGTGCTGCTTGTGTTAGGACTTTGCACAGGTGATATGTTTATGTAGAACCTGGCAGATCAACACAATTGCCAATGCAAGCCAAGAATAACACGTGGAAGGCAAGAATCATGAAATCAAGGACGGCTTGCTGCTGCTTGCGCCCGTGTTCTTGTCGCCCATTCGCATAAACATATTAATGTTCAAATCGTACGATAGGCCCGTCAACATGACCAAGGCTTCCTGCAGTCAGTAGGTTGGTACTGTAGGTCCCGTGACACCTGACACCTGTCGACCTTTGTTCTTGTTTGGCACTTTGATTATGGTTCTACCCACAGTCGGGGTTGGCGAATAAACACCCCTTGACCTCCAAGAAGCTATTGGTAGCCCCTGTGCGGGCCCTAGTAACGTATAGGTTCAATGTGTTCTTCAAGTGTCTCACGAGATGAGCCGGTTCAGGGTTGCAGGAAGTGGAACCCGAGAACGAGTCGAGTCTACTGTGTTACCAGCCTTCACCGGCTTCCCTGTTTTTCGAGGCGCGCCTGGCTGCCAAAGAACGAACAGCACTGGATTTCGGCGGGCCGTGGAGGAATCGGAGGACGGAGCAGTCTGATTTGGAGGAGCCGGAGCCCAGGAACAACCATGAGGAATTGGTACAACCCGGAGGACCGGTTCATACCGGTGGAAGCAGATCCCTCTTCCAGGCCCGAGCACGAGGTGCTCCACGGCACTTGATGCATCGAAAGAAGGCAGCGCTGGCGCAGCAGTGCACCGCATGTGGGGCTGCCGAAGCTCAACCCAAACCCAAGAGATGGCGCGGTGCGATTGGCGCTCAGGTATACCGACGAGGTGTCCGAGTTGAGACAGCCTTGGCCGGGGTACCCTGACCCTGAGGACGGCGGCTCGAGGGCTGAGCACTATGAGGTGTCCGCTGGAAACCAGATCTGGCAAGAAGATGAGCTTCGCTTCGTTGGAAGACAAGCTCAGGAGACCTCGGGAGCGACCGATGCTTTTATAACGCGACCGATTGGCCCGTACAACATGGCCCACGAGTTCTGACGTTGGGCTGGGCCCCGTGAAGACCAGAGCCGTGACGTGAGGACTGCGCTCTTCGGAGAAAAGAGCAGAAAAGGATGCTGACTGCCATGCACTATAGTGAGCCCCCAGTAGATAGTGGATGATAGCGGCACGGTTTCCAATACATGTTGAGTGGGGATATATATTTATCTATCTATTTGGGGGTCTGCCGGGAGGTGTGGACCCAAACTCACCTGTCCCCTGTCTCCGCAGTGCCTCGGTAGACCACAAGAGTCACGATCCATAAGGTACAGAGTGTGCCACCATGCCCAGCTGAAGGTGCGGGCGGCACTTGGGAAATGGAAAATCATCCTATGACTGTCTTAGGGTCTGGCAGGCTTGGGTGGACAGTTGTCATTCCATAGAGAGTTCAGAACCTGTGTCCATTTTGGCTCAAGTCTGATCCAAACTGGCAGGTTCTGTGTTTTCTTCAGGAGTGACCTGGCAGAAGACTTCATGCCAGCGAGGGTCAGGGAGGGGATTGATGTTGCCCTGTTTACGGACTTGCAGGTACTTACCCCGGCGGCATGGCTGGACTTCACGGCGCACATCGAGTCCATGTTGGCTGCTGGGAGGCGGGATTCCGCCTTGGTGCTCTGGGAGTCCGTGGTCGAGATCTTTCATGTGGGGTCACCATCTGGAGCGGTACTCCAATCCCCCACGATGCCTCCCCTTCGACGCATCCCATGCACAGAGGTCCCCTGTTCCCGGTGCGAGCGACGCCTGGGAGGGTTCCGGTTCCCCTGGGTTGGGACTTGGACGCGTCGTGCCGTTGTGGTCCAAACCGGCGCTACACCGCAGAGTGCATGGGATGCCTATCATGCCAATCCGGCCACCTTCGACCTTTTGGGGCTGCAGATGGTTCGCAGCCAGCTGGATCGAGAAGCGATCTCGCCAGCACACGTTGATCGGCTCTTCACCCGCTTGGCCTATGACAGGGATGGCATTCCCTGGAGCCATGCCACCCGTTTTCAGGACTTGGCAGGCGGGACGCCGTGCCTGGCGGGAGCCAACCCGCGTCGGATGTCCTCAGGCTGGGCAAGCCGAGCTCATCCAAGCCGGAGCGCTTCTTCGGCACCTTCTCGGAGCGACCGAGATCGACGAGCCCTTCATCCCTCCCTACTGCCTCATGTGTTGTTGTCCCACTTGGTCCGTCTGTCTGTCCTGCGATCGATCGGAGCGTCTGGAAGGTGAAAACTCTCCAGCACCAGTTGCTCACCAGCCAAAAGAAGACTAGAGGAAGCTGGGGGAGAACCTCTACACAGAGGAGGCAGAGGAGGAGACCCCCTGTGAGCAGACAGCTGAGAACTACCTGGATAGACTCCAGACTCTGCTACTTGCCTATGCGATGGCGGGGGTAGCCCAACCGGCGACCTCCGACCCTACCTTTGATGCCAAAAATGAGGCGATCCTCGGCTCTGACAGCACGATGTACGCCATCGCTCCGCTGGATATTTGCATGCAGTGTTTCTATCGTGCTAAGAGGACAGCGGCTCTCATCCCAGCCTCCAAGCGACTGCAATGGCTCCAGACTCGCGACCTGGAAGAACGCAGTGAGTGGACATCGAGGTTCAGGGAAAGCACCGCCACCCTCGGCACGATTATGAAAGAAGTCTACCAAGCGCGTGATGCGCACTGGATCCCCCCTGTGGTTGCTGAAGCCCCGGTGGGAGTGACCCCCGGTCAAGCGAGCGGCAGCAGTCAGAGCCTGCCGAGCAAGATGGTCCTCGGGAAGCCCGTCAACGGCAAGCAAGTTGCCAAGGTGATGAAGGATGGCACTGCCCTATGCGCAGCCTTCCAGCGAGGAGCCTGCAAGACCAAAGGGAAGTGCCCGCAGGGCGCTCATCGGTGCGGGGCGATCCTCAAGAAAGATCGAGTCTGTGGAGCATCTAGTCATGGGGCGGGGGAGTGTCGCACTGCTCCGAAGGCAGCTTGAAACAGCCATCGGCCACCTCCTCGGGCGCAGAGGACCCAGTCCCAGGGCCGTCTGAGCCTCCCTTGATGGTAGACCTCATGGCTGGACCCAACGCCCCGTTGACCAAGGCATTCATCTTCTGTGGATGGCGCACGATCACGGTGGATTGGCTCATCGATGCCTCGCATGCCCTTAGCTTCCGAGAAGCTTTGTTTTCTGTCTG